AAGAGCGCAGCAGCAGAAGCTCCCCCCAAAATAAATATGAGCTGTTCAGGTACAAACTGCTGCTGCTGCTGCTGCTGCTTGCTGCTGCTTGCTGCAGTCTCTGCTGCTGCTGCTGCTGCGCCGCCTGTTGTGGCCTTTTATCACTGTTGTTGCTCGCCCTTGCTGCTGCTGCTGCTGCGTCTGCTGGTCTGCTGCTTGCTGAATGTTGTTGCTGCCTCTCACTGCAGCAGCAGCAACAGCAGCAACAGCAGCTGCAACGGCAGCAGCAGCAGCAGCAGCAAGTCTCGCACGCGGTCTCTTCCTTTTGTCTTTTCGGCAAGAAACAAGAAAGCAGTCCAGCGGCTGATGAACAAGAAAGTAGATTTATCATTACTTTTTATTTATTATTTATTATTTATTCATTTATTTTATTATTTATTATTTATTTATTTATTTATTTATTTATGTATTTTTTACGCAGAATGCTGCCTGGCCTTTGGGTGGAAGCTGCCTATACACCTGAAACAGCAGCAGAAGGGCGCACCTCTTCTCAGAGCAGCAGCAGCAGCAGCAGCAACAAGTGAGCTACAAGCAGCAGCAGCAGCAGCAGCGGCAGCAGGTGCGGCAGAGAGAGCAGCTGCAGCAACGACAGCAGCACAAGCAACAGCGCTGCCTGTGGAGCATTAGCAGCATCTTCTTCAGCACTGTTTCGTGCATGCTGCTGCTGCTGCTGCTGCTGCTGCAGGCTTCCGCTGCTGGTGGACTTTGCTGCTGCTGCTGCTGCAGTCTACGGAGCAGCAAACATTAGGGAAAAGAGACACCCTGCGATGCTGCTGCAGCAAGAGTTTCTTGATGGCTCTAGGCCCTTAACGAAGCAGCAGGAGCGGCAGCTGGAACTGCTGCAGGAAGAAGCAGCAGCAGGTAGCAAACCCTAAACACTAAACCCTAAACCCTAAACCCTAGAAGGTAAACGCTGTCTACTCGGCTACCGCTCCCCTCAGCCGCTGCATTCAGAGCGCCCACCTAAACCCGCGCCTCCTAGGGTTCAGGGTTTAGGGTTTAGGGTTTAGAGTTTAGGGGCTAGGGTTTAGGGTTTAGGGTTTAGGGTTTGTGAGTCGCAGAGAGGTGCAGCGCCGAAGCAGGCAGCAGCCAGAAGCAGCAGCGGCCGCCGCTAGAAGGAGACACTGCAGCAGCAAGAGGCGTGGAGACTCCTTTGGAGGGAGACAAGTTGGCTGCAGGAGGCCTGGTCCGAGGGTTTAGGGTTTAGGGTTTAGGGTTTAGGGTTTGTGGGGGCGCAGGACTGTCTCGGGCGCCGACTTTGTTGCATCTCCCCTTTTAAGATTTTAGGCCTGCTACCGCTGCTGCTACCGCTGCTGTGCTGCAGCTGCTGCTACCGCTGCTGTGCTGCCGCTGCCGCTGCTGCTGCTGCTGCTGCTGCTGGTTCTGCTGGTGCTGCTGCTGCTGCCTTTGCTGCTGCCTCCTCCGCATCTCCTGGCACCGGTGCTGCTGCTGCTGCGGTGGCTCCGGCGCCGACTGGACCTGCGTTCCTCGCCTTTGCCCTGCTGCTGCCGCTGCTGCCGCTGCTGCTGCTGCTGCTGCCGCTGCTGCTGCTGCTGCTGCTGCTGCAGTGGCGGCCCAGCCGGCTGGAGCTGCTGCTGCACGACCTCGAGCGGCGGCTGGAGGCGCAGCGGCTGCTGGCGAGGCCCCGCGACATTCTGCGCAGCGGCGGCGGAGACAAAGGAGACTTTTATGACAAAGATGACGCCTTCATCGACGACGCAGAGGCCAGCTGCTGCTGCTGCTGCTGCTGCTGCTGCTGCTGCTGCTGCTGCTGCTGGAGCTGGGGATGGGGATGGTGGTGGTTATGGTGGTGGTGGTGGTTGGGGGGTTGTGGGGATGGTGGGGATGGGGCTGGTGGTTATGCGGGGGCTGGGGCTGGCGTGGGGCAGGGGCTGCTGCTGCTGCTGCTGCTGCTGCTGCTGCTGCTGCTGCTGCTGCTGCTGCTGCTGGCGTGGTGTAGGTGCAAAGGTTGCTGCTGCTGCAGTTGCTGCTGACGCTAACAGTGCTGCTACTGCAGTTGCTGCTGATGCGGCTGAAGTTGCTGCTCCTGCTGCTGCTGCTGCCCAAAGTGTTGCTGCTGCTGCTGCTGAAATTGCTGCTGTTGCTGCTGCTAGAAGTACTGGTGCTATAGGAGACGTCTGTACCAAGAATGATGCCTTCACCTGCTGCAGTTTCTGCTGCTGCTGCCGTTCGCGCTGCTGAAGACGCTGCTGCTACTGTTGCTGCTGCTGCTGCTGCTTCTCTTGCTGCTGCAGTTTTCCATCGCTGCAGCCATCTCTCCCGCTGCTGCTCTTGGCTCTGCTGCAGCATTAGTCTATGAATTATATAATCAATTAATTCTTTATCATTTAATTTAATTTAATTATTTTAATTTAATTAATTTAATTTAATTTATTTATTTTTCTTTTTCAGATCGACGAGTTTGAATACGGCGAAGACAGCGGCGAGGGCAGCAGCAGCAGCGCCGAAGAGTCCGAGAAAAAAGAGACAGCAGCAGTTGCTGCAGCAGCGTTTGTCTGTCTAAAGGAGACACTTGCTGCCTCCAGCTCCAAGTAGGCAGCAGCAGCAGCAGCAGCAGCAGCAGCAGGTGCCGTAGCAGATGCAGCAGCGGCAGCGCAGTAACGTAGCAGCAGCAGCTGCTGCGGCAGCAGCGTAGCGGCAGCACTGAAGGAGCGCAGCAACACAGCAGCAGCAACACAGCAGCAGCAACGCAGCAGCAGCAGCACAGCAGCAGCACAGCAGCAGCAACTAAGCAACGTGGCAAAGTAATTTATTTAAAATTTTTTTGAATTATTTGCTGCCTGAAGAGAAGCTGGAAAAAGGCGCAAGAAAGCGTCGCAAGTTATAACAATAGAATAAACTGCAGTCCCAAACCCTAAACCCTAAACCCTAAACCCTAATCCCCATATACTAGTAAACTGCGGAATACTTTTGACGGGAGACACAGAGTAATGGCTCAGCAAACGCGCTGCAGCGTTTCCCTCCTCTCTGCTGCGGTTGCTGCTGCTGCTGCTGCCACTGCTGCTGCTGCTGCTGCTGCTGCTGCAGCTCTGAAGGAGGCGAGTCAGGTGATGAGGAAGAAGAAGATGACTCTGTTGTAGACCCTAAAGGATGGAGGGCCTTTAGGCCGAGGGTAAGCAGCAGCAGCAGCCGCAGCAGCCGCAGCAGCAGCAGCAGCAGCAGCAACAGCAGCAGCAGCAGCGGATACTGTTGCAGCAGCAGCAGAAGCAGCAGAGGATGCAGTCGCAGCAAGAGCAGCAGTAGCACGGAATCAAGCCGCAGCAACAGGAGCAGCACACTTGCAGCACTCGCAGGAGCAAGGGTGAAGGCAGCAGCAGCAGCAGCAGCTGCTGCTGCTGCTGCTACCCTTGCTGCTTTTGCTGCGGCTGGGATCGCTGGTTTTTCTGTGTCTGCTGCTGCTGCTGCTGCGCCTCCGTCAGCTGCGGGCGATGCTGGAGCCGCAGCAGCTGCAGCACATTGAGCACCTTGAGGCCACACTGCAGAAAATGCCGGGTAAACCCTAAACCCTAAACCCTAAACCCTAAACCCTTGCAAGCCATTGAATTTTCTGGGCATGGGTGCTTGGCCACTAATGGACACCATGTGCTGTTGTTGCTGCTGGTGCTGCTGCTGCTGCTGCTGCTGCTGTGGGTGACATTTTTGCAGAGAGGGCTCAAGGGCCTGAAGCTGTGGCCGAGCTGGAATCCATTGTGGGACGATATGTAAGCTGCTGCTGCTGTTGCTGCTGCAGTTGCTGCTGCTGCTGCTGTTGCTGTTGCTGCACTTGCTGCAGCTGCTGCAGCATATGGTTGTTGTTGCTGCTACTGTGCTGCAGATACGTCGCGCGTGCGCCGCTGGGATGCCGAAGAGTCCTGACGACCTCGTTATCATTGATTTGGTCTGCTGCTGCTGCTGCTGCTGCTGCTGCTGGCCTGCTGCTGCTGTTCTGCTGCTTTGCTGTTTGTGCTGCTGCTGCGGCTGGGACCTCCTTTAAAAGCATGGTGCTTGTCGCCTTTCTTCCGGAGCCGCTTGTGCTTCCGCTGCTGCTGCTGCTGCTGCCAGTCCTCTTCGCCAGCAGCAGCAGCAGCAGCAGCAGCAGCAGCAGCAGCAGTATCTCTGTGTCTCCTTCAGAATTGGTCTCTTGTGAAATGCCTGGGGTCAGCAGTTCGGAGAATACATGCAGCCCTTGGCGCCGAGCTCATCCATGTGAGTCCCAAGCTGCTGCTGCTGCTTCTGCTGCCGCTGCTGCTGCTGCTGCTCTTTTCGCTGCTGCTGCCGCTTCTGCTGGTGCTGCTCTTTGCGCTGCTGCTGCTGCTGCTGGGGGTGTTGGTGGCGGTGGCGGCGCCGCCTTTGCTGTTATTGGCGCCGTTGTTGCTGCTGCTGGTCT